TAATTGTAAGTTTGTAGATGAAACTTATTTATATTCAAATACAGCTCGTTCGTTTAAATTAATGCTATCTCTTTCGAAATACAATTCTTTGCGCACATTTGTTCTGACAATTCTGACAATTAGAAGCGCCCTTGACATTCTCTCTGTTTGTACGCTAGTCAGAATTTGACAGAAATGTTTTTTTATAACAAAAACACAAGAAACAATCGAATACACATTATTTTAAATACATCTTTCAATTTTGTTTCGACGCTTTCTTAAAAAAAACTTGATAACAAAATGCCTGATAAATGTTACATCCCCTTGTTGTTTGAGATAAAAATTTCACATTTTTAATATTGTGAAGAGATTTTTTATTAAATATAAATATAAGTATTAAGTATAATATTAACACACTACGGGATTATAATGGATATTGTCGAGAGATAAGAGATTAACTGCGTATTTTATCGCATTTTCAATGCTCTCTCTGCTATGAACGACAAAATATGGGTTTTGAAAATAAAAATTGCAAAAAGAGAGTTACGGTTTTATTCACTGTGTAATCATCTGGTTAAGGTCAGTTGGCTGTGAACGGAACTTTAATAGAATATCAATTAGTTCTGATACGACTCAAGTATTATGGTTCAGATAAAATATTAATATCGATTGTCACACACATGGCAAAAACATCTGGCTCTTATTGAGCTGAATTCCCCAGTTGTAAAAAAGATACGTTTACGTATTAGCAAAATGTTTAATTTAAAAAAATTAAAAAATCATTAAAGTAACAGAAAGCATTGAACGATTAAGAAAGAACGTTGAATTCGTGAAAAAAAATTTCACGTTATGATAAAATGGCCTGTACATCACCTCTGGCTAGCGACGTCATGAAATTCTCTGGATAACCACCGGAGAATTTCATTTTGTCAAATAAAACTTGTCCGTGGACAGTTTTGCCGGACATAGAAGTGAGTAGGGGAAAACCGCAGGAATTCCGTTATTAATCTTTTTCAGAGACGCGGAATGCGTTTTTTAAATCGTGCTCCGCGCAATTTTCAAATATGCTGCGTATTTCCGCGACGGCGTATTCTTAGCTTAGCAGAAATTGCGCTAAATAAAATTCAAACTTAACACCTCCCGTTCTTCTCGCAGCGTCTTCTTTCTTAATTCCTATATAAGATAAACGCTTGCGCAATTATTAATTATACAAAATGGAGCCCCAAGAGAGAAGAAAAGACGTCGAGACGAATTTTTTGTAATATCGCAATATCACGCGTTTACAAATTGATAACAATGTTAGAAAGCGGCGCTTCAAAATTGATCGTAGATGTTTACGAATTCATGTTTCCTAAGAGTGCGCGGCTAATATTTTCATTCGACTTCCGAACTTATCTTCATGAAAAACTTGAACGGATAAACTTGCTTTTCCGAGACTCTTCGATGAATCGCGCGGAACTTTCTTAAGCTCGTATTCGCTTTTCGATGCGATTAGATTCGGAAATGTAACTTTCTCGAAAGGGCAAAACTCCTTCGAGGTTCTCGAGATTTCAAAAACGATCTGGTTATTTCTTTCATTATAGTTTGCGTATTGAAGTCGGGAATACTAATCAGTTGCCACTTTCCTCCAATTTGAAATAATAAAATCTGTGTACATAAATGTGATATTTCTTTCGTTATTTTGTTTTGCATGACGTAATTCTCTGATTTTTAACTCTTTTAATTTTCAATATTATGATATTCAATATTATACATTTGGTTTTGTTTTATTTAGTTTTTTTCTTGAATCCATTTGTTATAAAAGTATCTTTTAATACATATATTTGATAGCTTATTGCTGGAAGAAAAGAAAATCTTTTCTATAAGAAAAAAGCATTCAATTTTTGTTAAAATTGTTAAAATTGTAGTATTTACATTCAATTTTTCTAGAACATTCTGCACAACATGTGTAAATAACATTATATCTGGTTTATATACATGTAGAATGTATATTTTAATACATAATAATCTATAAGCCTTTACTTAATATGATACAATCAATATCATTGTTGATTATCATCATTATTATTATTATTGTAACGATATTATGTATGCGCTATCACTAATTATTCCTATTGTGTATTTCGACGTGACAGGGACACGATGCTCACAGTACACCGCCAATTTATTTATTATCTTACTACTGTTCAAAGTTAAAGTTTTAGCCGGCAGTGAACGAAAGGGCAACGTACAAAATTGAAACAGAAAGATAAATCAGACTTCAAAGTATCTTTTCAACTCGCGGAAAGCAACGCAAATACGATGAGTACGATAGGAGTGAAGGAGAGAAAATGGTGAATTGGCGCCGAGATAGAAGTAGTATTAATTTTCCCGAAGCACGGAAATTCCGCCACATCTCTCCTCCGAAATCTTATTCTTTTCTTTGTCCGCTTCATAACGCCCGCAATAACGTAGCCAGTTTCACTAGACTCGAAAGAGGCGAAAATGTCTTTTATTAAATTCTAAACATTCACGAAGAAAGTAAATTCTCTATTCTCAGCGAATTAAATGCATAAATTACATGTAATCTGAAACAATTAAATTCGTAAACATATCTGCCTCGGTTAACATGGAAAATTAACCAGTTTGGAAATGCGATAAAATATGCAATTAATCTCTTATGTTTGCTACATAAGTATTATGTTTTGTTCGAATAATATGTATGTTTTAATTGTTTGTATAATATATAGTATTTTGAAAATACAAAATAATATTATGCAAACCCGTTGACAAATTATTTAGTATTCACAATTTTTTAAACGTTTGTTTAATTTTGTAACTGCAAAAATTTGAACCTCTCTTAAATATAAATATATCAGTGCTATTGACATTGATTTAGGTTTTGAATAGTATTTAATCTATTTTAAGAAAAAGAGAGATACTTATATATATGAATGTTTTCTCTTTACTTTGCAGGCGCGGTAGGAGGCGAAGGAGGTGACGAGGATGACAAGGAGAAGGAGGAGGAGGCTGAAAGAGAGAGGCAGGAGGCCATTAGGGAGGCCGAGGAGCGAAGAAAGGAGAAGCATCGCAAAATGGAGGAAGAACGGGAGAAGATGCGGCAAGAGATCAGAGATAAGGTCAGCAATGACGATTTTCCCATAGCGTTTTCAGCTAAAAAGAGTTTTTCGATCGTTCTGGAAATGACCAAGTTTGATTTTCGTACACAATTCATAATCTTTACTCAATTAGAACTCACGCCATCACCAAACTTCGTATTGTAGAATTGAATGTTATTTACATACTAAATTGTTGCTCGATTTTGTCACACAAAATAATTTCGTAGGAATGTAACGTAATAAAAACTAATGAATTATTGTTAATTAAATAAACGCCACAATTCTAGGACGTCAAGACAGTTTTACTTGTAAATATCCTTACTTATATTTAAATATTGCTAGATGGTATTTAAAGATACGCACAACTGCCACGTCGGAAATTGCTGGTTTGTAGCTTTTGTCATTAAAACGCATTATTTGAACGTATTGTGAATCATATTTTTCAGTTAATTACAAGTGGATTTTGTTCCTGACTATAAATATCAGAGTACGAGTTTGAATATCGCCACGTGTTTCTCCCGCGTTTTCCACAAGAGTCCTCGATTTCATCTGGGTCATGTCAACGCCGTTGACTCCGGCCTGACAGGACAATACATCAGGATTGATAATGGCGCGATCCAACGTGCATTTTACATCTCTTTCCGTTCTCCCTCTTCCCCGTTCCTCTTTTTATCCACACATTTATTTCCCGCCAAACCGGTGAATGCGTTGGAAGCTTTTTGCGAGATCCCGTCGGCGTATATTGTTCTACCCCATTTGATCAATGCCTCGACGGATTCTATTTTCTATGTGATTCAACCTGATTGCTTTGTCCTCTAAAAAATGTCAAGTGGGCCGACTGATCGAATCAGCTTTAACGAAAACTCAAGAGTTAATAGTCCCCTCTCGCGCGTCATTAATTCTTACATTAATACGGAATAAAGATTAATGAATATGTATGAACGTAATAGCAGCGATTCCCTTTTAATGCGTTCCTTATAACGATAAGCTTAATTCTATTTTTTTGTGATGAGATTCTAAAGCTTGTTACGAGATAGAAAATTGATGATAGATTTGCGTTTTCCTTCACCGATATTTACCCAACTGGGTTAGTGGCGTTGGATTTTGCGTGACGTTAATTGGAGTGGAAACGCGATTATCTCGTATGTAAACAGAAAATGATATCGTTGAAGGGACCAAACGCGTAATTCGACGTTGTGGGACGCAGTTTGATCTGTGTATGTGGCACACCGACCGCACCGCTGCAGTGTACTGTAATTCCACATGCGGAAGTGGTCGTTGAGTGGTTGAATGTTGTAACCATTATCGCGGCGGAGTTGAGATTTGAATGGAGGGTGTCTTAGATCAATTAAATCGATAGATCGATAGTAACCGCGTGTATACGCCAACGAAATCAGATTTACTCATTCCAGAATCATTTTAATCTGATTGAAAACTTGAATGAAATATCATAGAATATTGAGATTTAAAGAAATGTGCAAAATGAAGGATTTAAACAAATGTAAGCACCTAAAACTTATAATAATTCTATAAATTTGAGCATTTCGAAATATCAAAGCTCAATCGAGTGAAATTTAACTTTGGACAAACCTTAAAGAATTCATAAAATGATAAAACGATACTAAAGAGACCAGTTAGCATTGGACAAATGTAATAACGGATAAAGCGGCTTCATTACTCTGCGAAATCCAGATTAAAAAACGTCTTTCAACGCGATGGCGTTTCAAGATTCGTTTATTCCACCGCGGTTTTATTCGTGAGGCAGGAAGATCTCTCGGTGGAATATAATTAACACTAATGGCTGCTTCATCATAGGCGAAAGAACTACCTCCAAATCCTTTCCATCTCGGTAGAAATATGATTCTTCGAAAATGAGCGGAAAAGATTGAGACGCAAGAGCAACGATCTCTCATGAGAATAGAGCATCCACTATTCCTGCGTAGCCGTGGAAGAGGCTTTAGCATGGTAATCGCATTGGGTCAAGTCAAATCCGATTTCCTATCTCGACTAATGAACGAAGTGGGACTTTGTTATAGCAAAGTCCACGCGCAATTGGAAATTATTCTTTTTATTATTTTATTTGCAAGTTGGCCTTTGGCCGAGAATTTGTTGTAGAGAAACGGCGTATGTGGTATAATATATTGTTGCAACTTATTTTATATAAAATATATTACATCTTTTTATTTATTTGCATTAATATATTATTTCATCTATCATGCTATATTAATGTAAATGTTATATTTGTAATATTTATCATCACATCAAAACTACAAACAAACGAGATTCATTGGTATTTGCAGAGTATATTTATATTTGTTTTGCAGTGTGTGGAATCGCCGTACACTTTTTACCAGTGTTAGGAAAAATATTTTGGGAAAATTCTCGAGAAACAAAATAGTTTTTAAGCTACAAATACACATACAGAATAAGCAAATCCTTCAAAGAACACATTAAAGAAAGGACAGAATCTTTCTCCCGTCTTTTATCAGAAACACAATAGTTATTCTTAAAAGCTGAATATACTAAATAAATAAAGAGAGTAGTGCAGAAGAGAGAGGGGGGGATTTTCAAAGTTCTGTTTATCGACCTAATATTGTTTGCGTTTTACATTACTCTGAGAAAATATTACGCTATATCCGGCACTTTAGTCTCTCCCATTGACCTCGTTCGTCCTTAAGGGTCTCAAAAACGAAAAATCGCTGAATGAACAACATTATTACATGTTGTCGCGGCCAGTTTCTATCAGCATCATTGTGCTCGTTGCAATATTTTTATTTTATTCTCTCATATATATTATCGACTGATTATACTGTCATTTGTTCCCCGTTCACGTACTCCGTTCACACGTTCAAGTTCACCGCTTATCCTTCATTTCGTCTCACTTTTCTACTCTCACACTGTTGAATAAAAGAAATGATGTAAACATTTGAGAGAAATTTTCAATTTTCATTGTAATTGACACCTTCTGATTGAAGCGTTCCAACAATTTTTTGAATAACGAAAACATTGCTAAAATAATACATGTACACAGAAGAAAATTGCTTTAAAGAGGTATTAATACGTACGAAAGTTGAAATTCGAATTGAAATAAATGTTGGCTTTATCAATTTTGTCAACGTATACAGAAGTACCTTTGAATTGATATGTAAGAACAGTTTATCGAGCTAGCCTTGATAAAATTTTCAACACAACGTTGTGCAATCTATGGTATCGACGTCCAACCTCGCGTTGGCGTTTTCAGTCAATCGAAACGATCGCAAATTGCACAGAATCAGGTACAATCGATTGGCAGTAGCATTCTGCATAGCATAGGCCTTCAACGGTTGCATTAAATAATTTACGTTACACGCTAAATCGACGCAGGGAATAATGCCGTAACTTCGAGGAAGGTTCAATCTATAGGGATATTGTCTTTCATCTTGATATCCCGATATCAAGATAAAAAATCGATGGTGCTGAAAATTATACGTGTAGAAGTCTACTTAAGTGAAATAGGACAGTCATTGTTATAAGTGGCAAGTTTGGCATTAACCATATCGTAATTAAGGTCTACGATGATTGATCGTTCCTGTTGAACACGCGTATTCTGGTAAATGTCAAAGATAATCTCCGAGGAAGGAAGAGGAAGCATCAAACGTGACAACGAAAGTGAGAAAAAAAGAGACGACGATGAAGCAACCTAGGAAGAGAGAAGATTGAACTTAACTGGGGTCAAATTGACTCTAGTAGGGAGTCCCTGCATTCAATATGGCGACTTCCTAATAGAGTCAGGCTGACTCCTTTTAAGACGTTCACCAAACGAGGAACCGTCTCGCGAGAGTACCTGAAAGCGTGTGCTTACTAAACGAAGTTAAGGCCATTTAATTTACAAAGCATCAGTTAATTTAATGGTACAAGGAAGTGTTGCGAGCGATATGCATGTACTGGTTTATGAGAAACAGCGCAGCGTTAAATGCTGAGTGACCCAATGATCGATTGAATCTGTCACGCGTATAAATTATACAAGTTTATTTTACAAATAAAATTTATATGTTGTCTGTGCGTATAATATATTAAGAAGTGGTTTTCTAAATTTTCTATAGGATTATTTTAATTGTGTTCACACATTTAAAAAATGTAGTCACTGTATACGTAGATTTTCAAGAAAAAGATCAGGCGCAATACGATATACAGGTCTTTTGAATTCTACTATAACTCTGAATCCCGACAGAGATCTCAGATTCCAATTTTCCCATCGTGGTAATATGGCACCGTATCAGATCTTCTGTCTATTTATAACACCGACAAAATTTATGATGCATATAGGGAGTATCGAGAATATCATAATCTCTTCTTCCAATCTTTCCTTTCGCCTCTGCAAACTAATAAAGCTTGTATTATAGATATAATGATAATAATGAATAGATTATAAATAAGAGAGAGAGAGAGAGAGAGAAACGAGAAAACGTTATAAATGTGTTAATATTGTTGATCATATTTTGGAAATAATAAAACGTTAAATTTTTCAATAATTTAATAAAATATTGAAATATTATTTCTTCTATATAGTTTGTTTCATACTAAAATATCATTTACTCAATGATTGGTTTTGTTTGTAATAGTTAATGATAAGAAAAAGAATAGTTTTACACGAATAGTTACATAAGAATGCAGAATACATCGAAACGAGGGCATGAAAGGACGCAGGCCTCAAAAACGCCGCAGTGCGACTCACTCTGCGGGCTTCATGGAGGCGACACACTGTACTAATATCATTAGAATAAGCGAATGACGCAAACCTTCAAGCAGTTGTTTATTTATTAATTGCTACTAAACGGTAGTAATTATTGTATACAATAATATGTGTAAGAGATGCAACACAAAATTTCATGTTATATAATACTGGACAACATTTATAGTTTTAAGGAATGCGAATTATTTATGCATATAATCATAAACAAGGAATCTTAATTAAGAAATACCCCATATAATATTTTGACAAATTTAATTGTTTTATATAAAATCTATTATACAGGGTGAGTCTTTTTAATCGTAACAGGCAAATATTTCCAAAATATGCAATTTCACAAAACAAAACTTTTAAAATAAAATTTGCCCGTCAAGATTTTAAAAAGACTCACCCTGTATATACATATAAATATTATATAATGTGTTTATATACATGTATAATAATTAAATTTGATAACAGTGTTATTTATGTCCTCAGTTTTTTATCTTGACTTTGTAATCATATATTTTTTGAATTATCCGATTATTCTTAAAATAGTCATGTGTGCCAGCCAAATGTAACGCGTGATAAATCGCCGCTCAGCCGTAATCCGACGCATAATAATGTTCTCATAATTTCGAACATGAATGGACAGAAGCGCACGTATGTACAGACGCAGATGCAAGAGGCGCGCGGACATGTTGCGCGCGTGTATCGAGGAACATTAATTAACGTCAGGATCAGAGCATCAGATTTGACGGTGCCATGTGAGGTACAGTGCTCGTTTATCCTTGCGCTATCTGTCTCCTCGATATAACACGTATGTTCGTTGAGAGATTGAGAGTTTGAAAGAGAACGCGCTTTCGTGAAACATGTGGGCGGAGAGAGTCAAAATTATAAGATAAAATAGAATTCTTCAGAACTAGAAATACTTTTGAAATTCTAGAAATATTTAAGTACCAGTTACCAATATTAATTGATACATTTTTCGATTCAACAAAAAAATGTAAATGCATTTTGTACATTAGGGAGAGCAGCACGGTTTATCGTATATTTGTTTATGCACATTTCTTAGCGTTCTCATAATTTCTTTGCCATTAAAGGATTTTTTGACAAGGAAAACGATATTGATTCTTCATTCTTTTAAAATAGTAATCACTTTCAAATCATTATATTCTTGATGTAATAAAGGAACGACTTATTAAATACACAATTGCTGATTCAACATCATGCTAATGAAATATAATTGATTGTAACGAAAAGAATATAAAGGGTGCGCTGTTTTATCGAGCTATTATATATTCTTACAAGTTAAGGGAAGAGAAAACATATCTTGTACGAACTAATTATAACATTACTTATAGGTTTGTGAAAAGCGCCATCGATTCTTCTTTAACTAGGGAATTAATGTATACTTAAGCGAACTAATATATACTTAAGCGAACTCATGTACATAGTAAGCCAAGTATAAGCAATAGATATAGAAATCGCGTAATAAGTATCTACATAATACGTGCGCAAAATATACGTAAGATACGCTATACCTCATTGGCTTCAAATTGTTATTTGTTTTCTTAAGTCGCAGATATAATCCAGGTATAATACGTTTTTTTTTTTTCTAAAAGCGACTCCTCTAGAGGAAACAAAGGCATTCATGACGCCGATGTCGAGTGTGCACTATTGTCCGATGCATAACAAATCATTTCACTGAAAGGCACCAATTATTAATGAGGCCTTGGTCAGCGGTACGTTTCCCATAGGTAATGATAATACTTGTATATGTGAGGCATATTCCTACGCACGCGGTGGTAACGGCACTTGTACCATTAATGCTATGTCCAGCTCGCTCCGCAATCGAGCTTATTGTTGTACCAAGAGTACAAAGCATTAATACAGTACACGCGAGGACCATCACTGCATGTATGTGTTAAATAACAGATGAAAAAGAGATAGAGATAAGGGAGGAGAAAAGATAAAGGCTATTAATTGCTTGTTAAAAGGGAGATACAAAAAATAAATGTTGTATGATAAAAATTAATATGTGATAATAAAATGTATAATATAGATTTATATTATAAAAGATAATGTAATATAAGAAAAAATGCCAAATGTTTGATATATAATTATAGTACATAATAATAAGATAATAAAGTAAACTAGTAAACTAATATTATAATAATAAATTGAAATACTTATTCATGAAGATTTTATAAATAATTGAGTAATAAAACTTTTAACGCCGAAAAGAAAAATTGTAATAGGATCTTCAGTTTGGTTTGACGAGAAATTGTTTTTCTTTGATTTACAGTATAATATAAAGAAAAGGGAGGAGGTGCAAGAGATGATGCCACAGGAAGAGCCTAATCCTCTCATGCGAAAGAAGAAAACACCGGAGGAACTGGCAGCCGAAGCTGAAGCCGAAGACGAAGATGACTTTACCAGTATGTATTGCCCGCAATATTATTTCAATATGTAATACGACATATTTTAAATCAGTCAAATCAAATTGACACAATTTACAATTTTTTGAGTTTATTAAGAATAAAAAGATGTCGCTTATTATCTTAATTATAAAAACTTTATCTCAAACAAGTCGTTGCAGGCCTCTTGTATCTTTGTGCAATTAAAAGATCGTTTTCAACCGTACTCTGTGTTTCCTTATTTTCGCGAGCACGCGCGCGAATGAGACCGAGTGCGCGGAAGTGTTGCGGAATGTCGCCGCGGCCGTCGGGGCTCCGCGAGTGCGTGAGGCGTAACAATATTTTGAATCTTGATTATTAATTTTTATAGATTTTGTGCATTTTTGTAGATTTTTTAAATATCTCTTGCTCAAGATTTTATTGACATTGTATTAAACGCATTCCTATTTTGATTGTTTCAGAACTGAGAAATACGATAGAAACGCAAGTGAATGAGATCAAGTCGCAAATTGAAAGTAAGTGTAGCCTCCAATGAGCCTATTGCATCGCGCGGTTCGCGAGAAAGATGACAACGATATCGTACGTTGTTGTCGGACTCGTGTCCGCCCTGCTACCCAAAGGAACAAAGGAGGAAGGGGTAGCGGAAGAGATAACGAAGCAACGAGAAAGAGGAAAACTGATACGTAGAGTCACCAATATTGGAACGCCATCGTCGTGTCAATCAATCGGAGATCAAACAGTCGATTGGTCGATTGTTGCTTAAAGCAAAGTGAACGACGAAAATGAGCCAGAAGATATCCCAAGGATTTTTCGAGGATTCCTAAAGGATTTTTCATTGCCGTCACATTTGGATGAAACTTTCAAAAGGATCCTGTCGAGAATTTCATCCTGCACAATATTTAAAGTTAAAGATGACAGAAGAATTATCTTTTATGCGGAGAAACGGATTATATAGAAGAATTGAATGATATGAAATATCGAAAATTGTGCTAAATCATGCAAACTACAAGAAATTGGACAATACAAGCTGAAATTTGAAAAAAGATGTGACCCTACATTAAAGTCTGATAACTAGGAATTGGTTTTGATAATTGAAGTTGAAAGAAGATCAGTAATTAAACATACAAAATTGAGACTTAAAAATATTCAATTCTAAATTCAATTCTAATCCTTAAAAAATTTTTTAATCTAATGCTGGTAATGTATCAGTGATGCCAGTAAACTTAAAAGAAATTATCTACTAGGAACCGAACAATAAATTTACAACTCTAAAAAGTATATATATTATAAATATTTCAACAAATGTATTAACTAAACAAATAGCGGAACATGTTGTTAAATTTATACAGTAAATAGAAGGAAATCGGAAAATAAAATAAATCAACAGAATAAAGAATGAGATTGAAAGATGTTTGTTGAGAAAATACAAAAACCAATTCTCTCGATTTTTACGACGAACAGATATAAACTTCAGTTCCGAATCCTTAAATTTGAAGGAAATTCTCGACAGATCTGATGTTCTTCAACGTAAAACGAAGAGATCCAGGCATTGACGACATTGAAGAAAAGTAAAATTAATTAGCAGAGGAATCGACACAATGATTATCTTGAAAAGAAGCACGAAACAAAAAAATAGATACAATATGTCTTTCGAAAGAATGAAGATCATGTAGCTAAATATCGCGGAGAAGAATTAAAAATTTATAAGCATAATTGATTTCGAAGCAAACAATATGAGAAAAGGACAAAATATGTGTAAAAAAACCAAGAGGAGAGATGACTGAAATATTGTCGATCGTCGATGGTGTTCGTGAAGGAAAAATGTATGGAGTAAAAACGATGTAAACGACGACGAAGAAAAAAAAAGAAAAGAGAGAGAATGCTGACTCGACCAGAGTGTAATTTTTTTATGTAAAATTGTTGCAAACGAAGTGTGAAGTGATGTTGTTTTATAGGATAATTAGGTGTTCCGTAGAATGTGTTTAGATGTAGTCTAGTTTATAACAAATTAATTATCTGGTATGACGAATGAAGTATCCAACTGTGGATACCGAGTTATTTTCTATTTATAGTTCGTCTAGATATTCTATAGTTATATGGAGAATTTTTGGCGCAATTTGGTGATTTAAAAATCAACTATTGATTATTACAGGAACTAATAATTCACTCTTTAATTAGCAACAATAATGAGTCGTTTGTCTGTTTATTTTATGGAATTCTATAGTATTTTGTCGAATATCTAGTTATTCTGTATCTCTGATGATTGTGTACCGCGAACGCTTCAGATATGTTAATTGATTCTCAAATAGGGATATAATAGGTATACAATATTTCTTTGTACTTTAGGAATGTTCTCAGAAATTTTTTGCAAAATGATCAAAGCTTTCGATCTAAATCTAATTTCAATCTAAAAATCTAAAATCCGACAATTATTCAGCTTAGATATATCCAATAAACTGCAATAACCATATCATTTTTAGAGTTTTACAATTGCTGATAGCTTTTACATAGCTAGCAAGGAAATAATAAGTGTGACCAATTCGACGACCAATTAGCTTTTTATTTTTCCAGAAAGATATCAGAAGTATAAGGCAGCAGGAAGTGATTGGCTTTTTGCTGCGTGCAATTATATTGTTATGGTGTGTGTGTACGTCGGTCAGAAATCGGCTGTCAAATGGGAAACTTCGGAAGCAGTTGGATATTCGAATATGGATCTCGAAACTTCCCTGTTAGGTGGTCAATTAACAGCTCCAACGAAGCGTTGTACAAAAACTATACTATGCTTTATATTGTTGTACTTATAGCCTCTCCTTGTTTTAATTGCTGTCCTTTTGTATCATATTTAAATTCTTTTTATTTTAAATAATACTTGTTGCTGCTTTTGACTGTAAAACTATGGGTTGCTAGCTATATAAACTTTTATAAACATGATTTAAAAAGGCACGTTGTAACATCGCGTATAATAAAAAATTTAGTAATCAAACTAAAAATTGATCTGAAATGCAAGATTACACAATATAAAATTAATTGTATAAGAAACAAATACAAAATTCAAATCTTCAGAATTATAAAACAAGAACGTAAATATTAATGAGCGAATTTTCGAGAGTGACATTATTAATAAAAATCCAGAAGTGATAATCTTAAACAATTATCTATTCTGTCATCGACTAATCTGTTAATTAGTTTATCGCCGACTCTAATGTTAGCCAGTATATTGATTTTCACTATTTGTAGCCAATGTCCGTTGTATATCCACTATTATTACATACGCATACAACTATTATACTATTACTATTTATCTATATACTGTTATATTCACTGTGGTTTCACAATTTTCTTTTCATAATTTACCCAAGTGAAATATAATGCATTGAATGAACAAGATGTGTAACAAACATATCAAAGCCAGATATATTCACGCGTCTAGTATGTTTAAGTTCACAATTTGTTGTGTCACAAGTGTCACAATGGTAATAAATTACAAGTGATCCACTAATCTGACCTATGGAGTATGCGCAAAATTGACGGAAATAGTTGCAAAAGCAGAATGAAAATGGTAGTACCATGTTTGCTAACGAAAAAATTTCCCTATTGTTTTAATTGATACAATATTTTAATTCTTCGCTAGCAGTCGATGTTTTATAGTTAAACGCTAATCTCTCTTTTTAGAAAATTTAATTATATATAATGCCGCGCTATCTGGTCGCGCAGCATACGGCTCTCGAGATAGATATATACTTGCAAATATCACGCGCTGGAAAACGCAAGGTGCAAACCGGGATATTTAGCTTCTCTCGTTATAAACAATAACGATAAAGTTTATATATATATATGTGTATATGTGCATGTATGTATATATATATATATATAAACATAAATGACGAAAAAAGATGAAAGAAGTAAAAAAAAAAGAAACGTATGTTAGCGCGTTAAGTTTTTAGGAAAGATTTTTCAGATAGTGAAAAAGTAATAAGAACTGTAGTTGAGTTATGTAGTTGATAGAAGTTCGTTCGACGACTGTTTTAATACACTAAGGAGAGAAGAAAGAGAAGACGGTAATGAAGGAGTTCTTATTATTATTGTTATCGTTATTAATGCCACTATAATTATTAAAAATTCGTACTTAATAAAGATGAACGCCACATCGAGCGCCACAGCAAAATTATCATAAAATGTGAATAATGATAATTGCTAGTTCTCGCTCTGCCATTCGTTCAAAACGAGTTTGCTAATTTAAGAAAACAAATACTAATAGTAAAAAATATAATATAATCATTTGATTAAATTCGGAAATAGAAGAGAAGAAGGTCAATGCGTTAATTATACATTAATTAGGTTACTTTGCATTTTTTCTAGATTTTTAAATTATTGATTTGCTGTCCATTTTTTAATATTTTATTACCTTTTGTCCAAAAAACTAATTGTTATCTAGATATATAATATAATAGATTATGTTTCTAAAATATTGTGTTAAATCAACTATTAAATTACTTGTCTAGTCATTAAAAGTTTATTATTGCGGCTTCTAAGTATCTGCTTTGTTGTTAACGTGAAAATATTTAAATACATTTTTATATTTTAAGAAAAATTGTTATTTGTATAATTTTGGCAATTTAAAAAAATGATTATGTTATTAAATACAAGTGAAAAAAAATTTAATTTGTTTTGGTGCAGAGTATATCGCGTCTAATTTCTTAATTATTTATAATAAGATACACATAGGTATTGAAATTGGTATACCGTAAAAAATGATGAAAGCAAACATGAAAAGTGAGAGGAAAAAGAGATATTTAGTATATTGTAAAACCGTTTTTGTACAGAGAAACGAAATTTTCGCATTTTCTTATTTGGACGCATTAAATTCATATACATCCTAACATTTCCTGAGGTCTTCGAATGGCAGGGTAATGATAGAATCAATTAGTAATACATTCAATTCAATAAACGATAAATAATAAATTAATAATAAATCGACAAATTGATTTTGCCATTGATAGGGTGAGGCCAAAATTATCTAAGGATAAAAGATTATAATACCCATATGCTTATTCTTTTCACTTTTCATTTATCGACTTGGTTGATTAATGTTACAAATGTTTTACGAACTTTCTAAGTTTTTACTCGAATTGCTCGATAAATCTTGTAACAAATTTTTATGTGGCTTAAAATTAGAAGTTCTTTTTATGTAAACAAATTTTTTATTTGATAAATTGGATTTTAAAGCTTGAAAGACTGAAGTTTAACAACAATGTTAGTGATAGAGTACATGGAAACAAATAATTGCGGATTAATTAGACATCATTCTATCGGTTTAAATTAAAATAAACGATAAGTTGTTATTGATATATGATAACTTCAAATTTGTTCACTTTCTATCACTTTTTCTTAAACTTGCCTTTTGTTTTATTTGTTCTACTACTGTTACTATCACAGTTTACGAAATCAACTATTTTTCTCTTGTATTTCTAAAAAGCTTCGAATTTGTCGAATTGCTTTTTAATGTTTTTTATATCGCCTTTGATATCAATTCTTCTTTCCTCTTATCTTATTAATTTATGTTGTAGTTGTATTTTATATTTATACAGTAACTTTATCATTTATTTTAATTACACAATTTTTGTAATATCTGCACTATCTTTTTTCGTTGTACAGAGATCTTTACTTTTCTACGTAATTTTAGTATTTATTTCACTGCTCAATAGATGAATTTTTTTGGCAACAGTATTGTAAAAGAAAATGTCAATGATTGTGCTTATTTTGCAAATACTTTGCAAATTGTTGTGCGTAACTCCGTCAAAATTGTGCGCGTGGGCGTTTAGCAATTGCATAAAGCAAAGTTCAGGTCCGTTAAAACTTAAAACCTACTAAAATTTCTTCCAAAATCAATGTTATGGAACGTTCATTATATCATATCCACTAAATATTATATTTAGTTCTTAAAGAATTAGTAAACTAAATTTCAGTATAAAAATAAAAGAATAAATAAATATTAAAAATAAATATAATATAAAAATTATACTTATTATACATATATTTATAAATTATATTATTAAATATACTTAATTTCTCTACAAAAGTTTATTCGAATATTGTTAAACTTGTTTAATTGAAAATCCGAAAAGACTTAGACATCACTGTCCAAGGATTAATTATCGTCAAACAAATAGCAATATTCAGTGAACGCAAACACAGCGTTTCGCTGGCCGCATTTATTCCATGCTTTTATCATAAAAAAACCGCGAACTTTCTGCAGCAATTCGCAGAAAGAGCAGAACTGCCTCTGAAGTTCACAAAGTTCGGCGACGACCGAAAGTTCTGCAAAAATCGCTGACAACGTGCTATCTTCCTTTTTCTTCTTTTGAGTTTTGTCCTTTTCAGCTCGATTCTTTCTTTCTCTCCCTACTATCTCGCTATCCTTCTCTTCTTCTCTCTCTCCTTCCTCCCTTTCTCCCTTTCTCTCTTTCTCTCTCTCTCTCTCTCTCTCCCCCTCTCTTTCTCACTCAGTTTTCAGAGCAAGAAACTCCATCATCCGATGCGACTCTGCAGCTGTTTGCTCACGAAAAACAAACCAAAAACTTTTCTTTCAGCATTTGACTTATCCTCGTTCCCCTTTCGATCTGGCTTGAGAGATGAATGAGGATTTTCATAGATTTAAAACTTCACCTAAAAATCTGATTTTTGATCTTTAAGATCGCGCTTTAATCGAGAGACATGATTGAGAAAAATTATAAATTAGATACGAAAATGAATTAATTATTCTTGAAGAGATTAAAGAGATTTGTATCTTAGAAAATGGTGTCAAACAATTGTGTTATATAGTAGTATACTGAAATTGATCAGATTCTGAAATTACATAAAATTTTTTAAAATCTTACTACATTTCTCTAAATATCTGTATATACAAAATTGTTTATTTATTTAAATTATTGTTTTGCTATAGTTACATTATTAACTGACGTAATTTACCTTGTGATAATATAATATAACGCGGTTTTTATATACAATAGGTTATTAATTTATAATTTATATATATTTTTACGTTTAATTATTGTTAATTATTTAATATAATATTTATTTTTCTTATATACTAACGTGTAATTTCATAAAACAGATAAAGATTTATTTAAACATACAAATTAACCGCGTATATGGGATTATAGAATTAATCAAGCTTTCTCTAACATTTCGTCTTGTACAATCATAAATGAAATCCTCACTATATATTTTTTTATTATATCAAACATTCTATTTTACTATTGAACATCTACACAGAATGTTTAGAAAAGAATAACGATTCAAATTCATGTATTGACAATTATTTATTAAACCAAGTAAAAATCTTCAATCAAGATGGATCCCACAGACATACCGTTTTCAAAGTACGAGTACAACATGTGAAAAATGTTACCGGTGAGCGAAAATGGCTGAAGTGTTGACTGCGACATTTTTCCTTGGTTTAATATATTCTATTCGATCGATTTGGATCATTATTCTAGAAACATCCTATATCTGTACTATTTACTACTACCATTATCTTTGCGTTTTTCTACGGAGTTACGCGCAGAAAAAAAGTGATCTCGACCGACAAACAAACCTCCGATTCGCGTACGAGAATCAAGGAAACGATCCACTTATATATCCAGGATGCGGAAGAAACGAAAAATTATTTTTTGCAATATGTTTTTAACGTGTACTCGATGTATAATCTTTCATTTGTCTATCGATGTGCATGTCAAATTTCTACTCCGCTTCTCGTGTCTTCTTTATCAATGTCGCTGATGGCTGATCTTCGTCGCGCAGCTTATTGCTCTCGTGTAACTGTCTATCTGGCTGAAGATCTTCGAAAATTACCCTGTAACGGGTAATTTGTTCCACAATTAATCTCAAACGGTGTAATCAATATTGAAACCTCTCTAATACAATTTCCAAGAAGTTGAACCCATAGTCACATGCGCTTTGTTCGTAGATGATTCTGATATTATATTTTATTTATTCGGAAAAATTACGAGAAGCATATAAGGATTAAAGTCTATTGTATAAAACGAGATAAACAATAGCAATTAACAATTGCAATTTTATTTTTATAATATTATTGACATTGATATTATTTAAATATATATATACTCTTACTAACAATAATTATTATTATAAGTATTTCTTATTATTACAGAATTATTACAATAGAATATCGTTAGTTTTGTAATTATTATAACAATATTTCTTTGTAACTACATGATGAAATTTATTTTAAATATTTATCGCCAATTTCTTAATTTTAGGATATGTGGATTAATATAATCAAAGAAGAAAAAGAATATATATAAATAAACACACAAATATATACATATATATATTTTGTTATCAGAGTTAGAAAGG